GGAGAAATCCACCAATGTTTTTGCATAAACAACAGAAAATAAACCCAACTGTGCAGATCCGTCTGCCCACTAGAACTTGAGGTGACTCTCCTTTGTGGCAATTTCAATTTTTTGTGACAATTACAACTTTCAGAGGTATACCTCTGGTATGATTTTTAAGTAAAAACACTCTAGGATTGGAAAATTGTCTTTTCTTTGATGTGAAGAGAAAGAGAAAGAAGGGCTTTTGAAAAGATAGCCTGGCAGGAAATACCAGCAATGAACAACCTGAAAAGGAAATTAAGAAAACAGTTACATTTACAATAGCATCTAAAGAATAAAATACCTAGGAATAAATTTACACAGGGAGGTAAAAGGTTTGTACACTGAAAACTATAAAACATTGCCCAAAGAAATTAAAGAGGACCTAAATAAATGGAAAGACACCCCATGTTCATGGATTGGGAGACGTAGTATTGTTAAAATGTTAATACTCCCAAAAGCAATCTACAGATTCAATGCAGTGCCTGTCAAAATTCCAACAGCATTTTTTGCAAAAATGGAAAAGCTGATCTGCAAATTTGTATTTTATGATCCCAGTCATTTGACATACCTAGAATAGGCACATACATAGAGACAAAAGTTTATTAGTGTATACCAGCGGCTGGAGGAGGGGGAGATGGGGAGTTATTGCTTAAGGAGTACTGAGTTTCTGTTTGGGGTGATGAAAACCATTTGGAGATGGACAGTGCTGGTGGCTGCACAACATGATGCAATGAAAATATGTTGTTACATTTAACCACAATAACACTAAGAAGATATATTAGCAAATCAAATACAGCAATTTATAAAAAGAAAACGCAACATGATCAAGTGGGTTTTTGAAAGTTAAGGTTGGTTTAATGTGTTAAAATCAAAGCAATTTACCACATTAAGACAATAAAGTAGAAGAATCACATAATCATCTCAATAGTTTCAAAGAAGTGATAAAATTAATACTCATTTATGATTTTAAAAAAAATTTGACAAACTAGGATTAGAAACTGATAAAGGGAACCTACAAAAAGTCTACAGGTATCCTGGTGCTTAAAAGTGATAACAGACTAAAATCTTCCCCCCTAAGATGGAGAACAAGGTGACGATGCTCCCTCTCACCTAGCTAGTGCAGTAAAGCAAGGAAACAAAAGACATATAGTTCGGAAAAGAAGAAATAAAACTTTTGATTCAGAGACCACATGATCACATACTGAGGAAATCCAGAGAAATCTACAAAAAAGTTACTAAAACTAATAAGTGAATTTTGCAAGTTTATATAATACAAGGTTAATGTACAAAAATCATTGAAACGTTTATATAGTAGCAATGAGCAACTGGAAGATAAGATTTTAAAAGCATACCATTTATAGTACTGTAGTATAAAGTACATAATCTAGCAAATAAACTGCAAAGGAAACAAAAGCATACTTATAAATCTTTAATACTTCTGACTTGTTAAAATTTTCTGTGCTACATAAATCTGGAACCTATGTTTTACATAAAACTGGATCTGAAAGAGAAAACCATGTTATTCATACAGTTAAAAGCTATATGTAAAGCTTTTAGGGAAAGAGAAAATGTACGCCTTATACTATTGTACGATATCTTTCTCTATAACTTTGGAAAAGAAAAAAAAAAGTTTCTTTAGGGCGAATCCTTCTGAGCTTTAAAAAACTATGGACTCTCCCATTATTACTTAAAAACATAATTCTCAAATGCAGCAGAGTGATCATTTTTACAGGGTAAATGTTTTTTATATGTGGAATAACATTGCCGAGCCCAATTTTAATAACACTAGATTAAGATGAAAGAACAAGAAGATAAAAGTCTGTCAGTAATATAATTCATCAGCATGTTGAAAAGCAATAATAAATTACATTGTTTATCTTCTAATGGGGACATTGGAGGTTCAATGGTAGAATTCTCACCTTCCATGTGGGAGACCTGGATTTGGTTCCCAGCCAATGCACCTCAGGGCAACCACCACCCTTCTGTTATTAGAGGCTTGCGTGTTGCTATGATGCTGAACAGGTTTCAGCGGAGCTTCTAGATTAAGGCAGACTAGGAAGAAAGGCCTGGTGATCTACTTCTGAAAATCAGCCAGCGAAAACCCTGTGGATCACAATGGTCTAATCCACAACACATGAGCACAGTACAGGATCAGGCAGTGTTTTGTTCCGTTGTGCATGGGGTCGCCATGAGTCAGGACTGACTTGACAGCAGCTAACAAAAACAACAATCTTCTAACAGTAATTGTTGTAAATTACAATACTCATGCATACAGTATAGCTAGTGTATACCATCATGTTCATTTGCTCAACTATAATTGAATGCCCACTATGTGCCAGGCACTATTCTATGCCTAAGGATGGATACATAAGTGAACAAAACAAAAGTTCCTGGTCTTGATAGGGCTTCCATTAAAAGATCATGTAGTATACTTCCTTTTTTCTTCCCAGAAATTATAAAATCTATAATGTGATTTAACAGCATATAAAAATCATTGTGGCTTTCCCTCCCTTTCCCCACACTTTTAACTTTCAATTTTTTTTTACCGTACTTTAGATGAAGGTTTATTGAACAAATAGTTTCTCATTAAATGGTACACATATTGTTTTATGACAATGGTTAACAACCCCACGACATGTCAACACTGTCCCTTTTCAACCTTGGGTTCCCTATTACCAGCTTTCCTGTCCCCTCCTGCCTTCTAGTCCTTGTCCCTGGACTGTTGTGCCCCATTAGTCTCATTTTGTTTTATGGGGTTGACTCATCTTTGGCTGAACGGTGAACCTCAGGATTGACTTCATTACTGAGCTAAAAGGGTGTCCGGGGGCCATACTCTCAGGGTTTCTCCAGTCTCTGTCAGGCCAGTAAGTCTGGTCTTTTTTTGTGAGTTAGAATTTGGTCTACATGTTTCTCCAGCTCTGTCCAGGACCCTCTGTTGTGATCCCTGTCAGAGCAGTCAGTGATGGTAGCCGGGCACCATCTCGTTGTACTGGACTCAGTCTGGTGGAGGCCGTGGTAGTTATGGTCCATTATTAGTCCTTTGGACTAATCTTTCCCTTCCCCACACTTGTCATGTAAAACTTTTTCAAGAAGTAATGATACTGAGCTGAGGTTATATTTTCACAAATACTCTGAGACTCAATTACAATATCCTGATATTCTGGAAAATGCTGCACAGGAAATGGATGCCGTGGCAAAATGACGACAGAAAAGCTGTTACTCTTTTAGGACGTGAGAAAGCCGTCACTAAGCCGGAAGCAGTTGGAGTAAACAGACTCTTGTTGTTGTCGTCGTTGTTGTGTGCCATCCAGTCAATTCTGACTCATAGCAACCCTACGGGATGGAGAAGAACTGCCCCCATAGGGTTTTCTAGGCTGTAATCTTCACGGGGTGCGCTGGTGGCGCAGTGGTTAAGAGCTCAGCTGCTAACCAAAAGGCCAGCAGTTCAAATCTACCAGCTGCTCCTTGGAAACCCCATGGGGCAGTTCTACTCTGTCCTACGTGGTCGCTATGAGTTGGAATCGACTGGATGGCACATAACAACAACAATTGACTCGATGGTAATGGGGTGGGTTTCTTTTTAATATTTACGGGAGGAGATCACCAGGTCTTTCTCCCACAGAGCAGCTGGTGGTTTCCAACCGCCAACCTTTTGGTTAGCAGCCTAGTGCTTAACCATAATACCACCAGGGCTCCTTAAAGACTCTTAAAGGTAGCATTTTAATAGAATGAGACATGGTGAAATTCAGCTACACTCTAAGAGGTGAATTACAAAGACATTTTAAATGAGAGAAATTCAGGATACAAAGCCAAAGGGGTATTTTTAAAAATGCAAAAAAAACCCACCTTATTTTCTGCAATTTTGGTATCTTTAGTTTTAACACATACTCGAAATCGATAAGGCTTAATGTTATCATCCAAATGCTACTCAGCTATGGAGGGCTGCCCATTGTACTCTGGCTTTTCTATAACTTCTTTGGAAACTTTTATTCTATCACTGGTTTCATAAGGTTTGACATCAAAGCACGGTCGTTCTAACAAAAAAAAAAATGGATCCTTTATTTTAATAAAAATGATCAAAGAATTGTTATCAGTAGAATTTGATAAGGAAAATGAGCCTAACTAGCCCTGATATGTTATGCCTGAGTCCCCAGCAAAGCCCCTATTTTCCATTTAGATATGAAATCAGGCAGTCATGCACTGAAGCTACAGGAAAAGAGCTTCCCCAGCTACCAAAACCCGTTTCTGTTGAGAAGATTCCGACTCACAGCGACCCTATAGGACAGAGTAGAATTGTCCCATAGGGTTTCTGAGGTTGTATGTAATCTTTATGGAAGCAGATTGCCACATCTTTCTCCCACAGAGGGGCTGTGGGTTCGAATAGCTGACCTTTCCGTTAGCAGCTGAGTGCTTAACCACTGCACCACCAGGGCTCCTTTTCCCCAGCCAACCGGCTCTTTTTACACTGTGCTGTATGTTTCTTCGGTGTCCCTGAGTGGTACAAATGATTAATGCACTCTGCTGCTACCCAAAATGTTGGTGGTTCGAGTCCACCCAGAGGCACCTCAAAAGAAAGGCCTGGCAATCTACTTCTGAACAATCAGCCATTGAAAACCTCATGGAGCACAGTTCTGGTCTGACACACATGAGGCCACCATGAGTCAGGGTTGACTCGACAGCAATTTTTTTTTTAATATATTTCTTTGATTTTTTTTTTTCATTTTGGAAATATTTATTGAGTGCCAACTTTGTGCTAGTTTTTGTTTTAAGTGCTGAGGTACAGCAGTGAACGAGATGCACCTGGTGCCTGCCCTCAAGGTGATCATAATCCAGTTAGGAAAGATGTACAATAAGCAAACAGACTTTTAAAAAAAGTATAAGAATTTCAAGCAGAGTTCGGTGCTATGAAGACAAGCTCCCAGGAAGATGGGACACAGAGTGATGGGCTCTAAAGCAGAGAGGCTGAGAGGAGGGGACTACTTCTTACGCTCTTTGTCCTTCTTCACGTTGGTGCACATCTGGGCCTGCAATGATTCAGAGGCCGCTTTCATTTTATAAAAATCTATTATTTCTTCTTCTAGTTGTTTTCTCTCTTCTTCAAGCTTCATTGTCTCCTCTTGTTGGACTCTCTTAAGGTGCTCAAATTTGTCCTGTAGCTGGAATACAAATACGCAACTGTGACTAATGGCCCGTGTGATGCCACATTCGTCGGAATACACTTGTCATTTTTTCCAATTATCAAGCATCCTCAAGTCATCATAGTAGTGCTTGATCTTAGCAACCATCTCAAAAATGCATTGTAATTCAATACAGAATTTAAATGATTTTATTTTTAAACAAGTTACCATGCAAAAATGCTTGAACTAAATATAACAAAATCCACAAGTATGCAAGAAACACAATATTAAAAACATTTGACTTTTTCCTAATAGGTGTATTTTGTAACTCTACATTTTCCCCCACAAAATATCCTTAAATAAACTTTGTTAAATCCATACTCACCAAAAATACATTCATTAAAAGACAGCATGGATTGTGAAGCAGTTGTTGAGATTTTAATTATAAAGACCATTGAAAGAAGATCTGATAATTTCCTTAAGTGAAATTAGCACAAGTGTAGACAGAAACAAAAAATGTCAAGGGCCCCATTCAGTTACCTTTATTTCCTCAGGAGGTTTTACTTAATCTGTGGGGCTCAAAATCAGCGTGATAAGGCAAATGAAGGAGACAGTGTCACCTTGGATGTCATTAGAGGCAGGCCTGGGTCTTTGACGTGACATTATTCCACACCAATTTTTCCCAACAATTGCTTGTATGCATCATAGAAAGTGTGTTGATCAAAGCTATGATGGCAGAAAATGGTGAGAGACAGCCAACTGGAAGAAAGGATGCTACCCCCTTCTTCCCACTCCACCCCCAGACCTGGCAGTTAGGGTATCCTTTCCCTGTACTCCCCAGTCCCATGAAAGGAGTCCTCTGAACGCCTGTCACCTTGCTCCCTGATTGATACTGACATCTGCATTTCTCCAGTAGACCAAAAGATCCCTGGGGGCAGGAGTCATGCCTTCATATCTCAAGCGCCCGGTGTTGTTGTTGGGTGCTGTCCGTCCATTCCAACTCATAGTGCCCCTTGTGACAGAGTAGAACTGCCTCAGGGTTTTCTAGGCCGTAATCTTTACAGGGGAGCCCTGGTGGGGTAGTGGTTAGGAGTTATGGCTGCTACCCAAAAGGTTGGCAGTTCAAATCCACCAGCTGCTCCTTGGAAACCCTATAACGCAGTTCTACTCTGTCGTGTAGGGTTGCTATGAGTCGGAATCCACTCAAAGGCAATAGGTTTGGTAGTTTTTCTTTCTTTTTTTTTTTTTTTAAATATTTATAGGAACAGATCTCCAGGTCTTTCTCCTGCCTAACACAACACAAATAATGCTGCTCAAAAAAAGATTTATAAAAGTGAAGGAAATTTTCTAATGCAGTAATAGGGTTAGAAAGTGCATGACTCTTCACCGAAGTCAATAGCTTGAGTCTGTTATAAATTAAACTTTCTATGGTAGCACAATGGTTAAAGCGCTTGGCTGTGAACCAAAATGTCCACGGTTTGAATCCACCAGAGGCTCCATAGGAGAAAAGACCTGGTGATCTGTGCCCACAGAGATTAACCAAACCAAACTCACGGCCGTTGGGTCGATTCTGACTCAGAGTGACCCTACAGGACAGAGTAGTACTGCCCCATATGATTTCCAAGGGTTTCCAAGAAGCAGCTGGTGGATTCGAACTGGCAACCTTTTGGCTAGCGGCCGAGCTCTTAACCACTGTGTAACCAGGGCTGCCCCATAGAGATTACAGCCTAGGAAACTCTATGTGAGGCAGGCAGCCTCAGCGCCCAACCGTTCTAAGAAACAGCTGCTCTGGCTTATCCTCCTACACCAAGCAGAACAGGCCACACACTCTTCTGAAATTGTCCTTGACAAGATAACCACAGAACGGGCCATAGATTGCCTCAACCCCCCTCTAGGTGGAGACTTAACATGCTAATGAAGGAAAATCGACCTCTTCCTCCATCCCGGAGAATCAAACCTTTGTCTAAAGAAAATGCGTAATCATCCCCAAGCTCTGAGTGCCTGTGTGAAGTTCAATCCTGAATATTCATGATGAATTTGCATTTCCTTGTCTACTCTCTGTAAAAGCTCACTTCCCCAAGCTGCCTGCAAGCAGTCTTGGAGGCAACAGCCCCAACTGCTCCTTCCCTTATGCAACAAAATAAAGGTGTTTTCTTCTCCAACCTCGGCCTCTTACTTATCGGCTGTAATAAGTCACGCCAAGCAGAACCTGGGGTTTCCACCTGGCAACATATGAAGCAGTTCTACTCTGTCCTATAAGGTTGCTGTGAGTCAGAATGAACCTGAAGGTACACAACGACAACATATGAGAATTCAAATTATAAATAATATAAAGGCAAATATATTTTACAAAATCATTTTTAGAGGTCATTTAAATAGCAAGTTCTACAAATGCTCTAGAAAAAAAAATTACAGGTTATAATTTTTTTCAGGCTGTATTAGAAAATTACATGTTAAACGGCTACTTTCTGAAGAACAGCAAGTAGCCCCTAAAAGAATCTCAATGAAACTCTTCAGATGAAAACCCCAAATTAATGATGTTGTTGCCATCCAGTCGGCCCTGACTCATGGCGACCTTATGTATAACAAAATGAAATGCTGCCCAGTCCAGCACCATCTTCATGATTGTTGTTATGTTTGTATCAATTGTTGCGGCTATTGTATCAACCCATCTCACTGAGGGACTTAGACTTATTTTGGACACATCATCAGGAAAGACCAATCGCTAGAAAAGGACATCATTTTTGTCAAAGTAGAGGGCCAAAAAAAGCAAGGGAACTCAAATTAATAGGGTGCCTAAAAATGAATGCAAATTATATCAAACCAGCAGTACTTGCCTCTTTTTCAGCTTCTTTAAATGCAGCTTCTTTCTCCTTTACCCGCTGCATAAACCTCTGTTTCAACTGTTCTTCCTCCTTCTGGCACTGCTCATAGAACTCTTGTCTTTTGGCTTCATAGATTTCTTGAAAACTAAAAGGGTATTTTTATTACTCTCATATTAAAATGCTAATAAGCTTACACAAATACACATATATTGTATATTAGGTCCTACATAAAAACATTTACCAATATTCTCTCATGTAGAGCAACAAAACATATGGAACTTTTTCTATATCATGAGATGTAAAAAGCAAGGTACTGTATTTAAAATAACAATATATATGTTGTTGTCGTTGTTAGGTGCTGTTGAGTCAATTTCTACTCATAGTGACCCCATGTGACAAAGCAGAACTGCCCCATAGAGTTTTCCAGGTTGTAATCTCTACGGAGGGAGAAACCAGGTCTTTCTCCCTCAAAGCACTGAGTGGGTTGAACTGCCAACCTTTCGGTTAGCTTTAATCACTGTGCCACCAGGGCTCCTCAACAGTACATATAGAGTGCATAATAAAGTATGGGGAGAGTGGTGGTTCAGTGGTAGAATTCTCACCTTCCAAGTGGGAGACCTGGGTTTGATGCCGGGCCAACGCACCTGATGGGCAGCCATCACCTGTCTGTCAGTGGAGATTTGGGTGTTGCTATGATACTGAACAGATTTCATCAGAGCTTCTAGACTAAGACGGACTAGGAAGAAAGGCCTAGAATCTACTTCTAAAAATCAGTCAATGAAAACCCTATGGGTCACACTGCCCAATCCAAAACCGATCATAGGAATGGTGCAGGAACAGGCAGCATTTTGTTCTGTTGTGCATGGGGTCACCATAACCACTAACTATACCAACAATAATATAATACAGAGGGTATATATAAAGAGTACTAGAATTTTGAAAAATACCTCCTAAGTCTGTTTCATATAAATACAAAAAAAAAAAAAACAACCCAAAATAATGTGTTTTTCTCTTGGATACACGTTTCAGCATATAGTTAAATAAATGATCCCTAGAGTCACTATGAGTTGGAACTGACTCAACAGCAATGGACATCATTATGATAAGGAGTCCTGGTGAAACAATGATGAAGCACTCAGTTGCTAACTGAAGGGTCAGCAGTTGGAACCCACCAGCCCCTCTGCGGGAGAAAGATGTGGCAGTCTGCTTCCATAAAGATTTACAGCCTCGGAAACCCTATAGGGTAGTTATACGCTGTCCTATAGGGTTGCTATGAGTAGTAATTGAATCAAGGGCCATGAGTTTGTGTGGTGAAATGAGTTCATTTATGTGGCCTTTTGCTTTGGTTCTTTGGAAAAACAGCTTGAGAGATTTTTCTCCTAAACCCTCAGAAGTTACCTTTGCCCTAGTTTCCTACCCAGAAGGTTTGTCACGTTTGTCCAGGTTGACTAAGATTTCCTGGGTAAGCTGTACACAACTAGGTTTTGATACTTTTTGTCTGGTCCTGGGCTGCGGCCTGCCCTGTGATTGTATGCACCTTACAGGGATTGGACCACGTTATGCAAATGAGGTGACTATAGCCTACTATGCAAATGAAGTGTCTGTGGCCTACTGAGAGGGGATTGGTCAGTTTGTGGCCCCCCTCCCTTCTGGGAGGGGCTATGTCTTGAAATTGTTAAGAAGTTGTGTATATAAGCAGCCAAACCCACAGAGGTTTTTGAGGTAGAAAGAAGCAGGAAGAGAAGCAGCAGAAAGTAGAAGCAAGAAAGAAGAGAGAAGCAGAGAGAGAAAGGTGATAGGAAGCTCCTAAAAGAGCTGTAACACAGGTCAAGGGCTGTAACACTGAAGACAATGAGAGGCCCAGAAGGGGCCCAGCAACAGAGCCAGTGGTGACAGGCCCAGAGGGGCCCCTGTGGCAGAATCTGTGGTGACTGATGGCAGAGCCAAGAGGAACCTGTCCTCAGGGGGCTGAGAGGAGCCTTGTCCTCAGGTGGCCGAGAGGAGGCCTGTCCTGAGAGGGCCAAAAGAAGGCCTGCACAGCCGAGATGAGCCGAGGGAGCCCTCCTGCACTGAAGAAGGGGGACTTTGGCTACATGCTTCCTGATCCTGATCCCGAGCTGTACCCTGTTACTTCCTTAGTAAACCACTTAACTGTAAGTATGGTCTGTGAGTTCTGTGTGGCCATTGAGAAGGTTTATCAAACCCAGAAGTGGAGAGTGCCATGGGAAGGACGGCTACTGTCAGAATTAGTAAAAAGGTTGGAGAGTGGAGGTATGTCTGACCTCCACCTCATAGGAATCAGTTTTGGGCTAATCCTAGTCATTATCCCCCGCAAAGTTAGACAGGTTCTGACACTACTATTACTACTACTAGTCCCATTTTATAGTTTGGTTTTGGTTTGGTTATCATTATGTTGCTCCTACTAACTATCTCCATTTAGGTTGGAAGAGGATTTAAAAAATCTAAAACCTGGGATGGCCAGGATATGAGAAGTACAGTTATTTTCACTCCCAAATGATTCTGTCTCTTGGCTGTGGGAGTTTCCAAATTATCCATTTGGATGTCCTCACGAGCCAACCCCCGCCGCCCCGCCTCACCTGACAGGCTGGTTGTCTGGACCCACATCTGTAAAACCCATTTTCTTCAGTCTGTGGCACCGATAATGCTCGTAGTGCCGAGTGTGGGTCTGCTCTTTCAGGTCCTCCGTGTTCGTACACAGGAGCATATCCCGGAGTTTAACAAAGTCACAGTGGTTTTCATTTTCCACTAGTCAGAAAAACAAGAAAGCAGCAACACTCGTTATGAATTCCTGGCACTCAGAAAGTATTCTGGAATGAATAAACTCATGAAAGACACGTTTAAAATAGCAAACAGCTAAGTGAGCGGTCTGATGAATAGCTACAATTCTTTTAACCAGGTAACTATGGTAGTACTATACATACCAATTAGAGGCAGCTTTATTTAAAGCTAAAAAAACCCCATTGCTGTCAAGTCAATTCTGACTCATTGACCCTATAGGACAGGGTAAAACTGCTCCATAGGGTTTCCAAGGCTATAAGTCTTTACGGAAGGAGACGGCCACATCTTTCTCCCATGGAGCAGCTTGTGGGTTCAAACCGCAGACCTTCCGGTTAGCAGCCGAGTGCTTAACCACTATACCACCAGGGCTCCTTAGATTTATTGAAGGGCCAGAAATGTGCTTTAAATTTATTAGTCAATGAATAAATAGGAAATAGCTGAATAATTCATTATATTATATTAGTATATGCTATAGTTTTCATTAGTATTTTTTGCGTGTGTGCTTTAGGTGAAAGTTTACAGACCAAATTGTTTCTTATTCAACAGTTAATACACAAATTGTTTTTGTGACATTGGTTGCAATCCTTTCGATGTGTCAATACTCTCCCCTTGTCCACCTCAGGTTCCCGTTTCCATTCGTCCAGTTTTCCTGTCCCTTCCTGCCTTCTCATATTTGCTTTTGTGCAGGTGTACCCATTTGGTCTCATGTACATGACTGAACTACGAAGCGCATGCCTCACGTGTGTTATTGTTTGTTTTACAGACCTGTCTAATCTCTGGCTTAAGGGTGAACTTCGGGAGTGACTTCAGTTCTGAGTTAAAAGGGTATCCAGGGGCCATATTCTCAGGGTTCCTCCAGTCTCTGTCAGACCAGTAAGTCTGGTAGTTCTTTCTGAATTTGAATTTTGTTCTACATTTTTCTCCCGATCTGTCCAGGACCCTCTATTGTGATCCCTGTCAGAGTAGTCGGTGGTGGTAGCTGGTCACCATCTAGTTGTTCTGGGCTCAGGCTGGTGGAGGCCATGGTAATCGTGGTCCATTAGTCCTTTGGACTAATATTTCCCTTGTGTCTTTGGTTTTCTTCATTCTCCTTTTTGTTCCAAACAGGATGGGACCAATAGATGTATCTTAGATGGCTGCTTGCAAGTTTTTAAGACCCCAGATGATACTCACCAAAGTCGGATGTAGAACTTTTCTTTATAAACTATATTATGCCAAATGACCTAGATGTCCCCTGAGACCATGGTCCCCAGTCCTCAGCCCAATAACTCCATCCCTCAGGAAGTTTGGATGTGTTTATGAAGCTGTGCTGACTTCTCCTATATTGTGTGTTGTCTTTCCCTTCATCAAAGTTAATGATTTCCCCTCCCCAATCCACCCCTGTATCCATCAAAGATTGCTTCTTTCTGTGTGTAAACCTTTCCTTGAGTTTTTATAATAGTGGTCTCATACAGTATTTGTTCTTTTGTGATTGACTTATTTCACCCAGCAATGCCCTACAGATTCATCCCTGTAAGATGTTTCACAGATTCATCATTGTTCTTTATCATTGCATAGTATTCCATTGTGCACATGTACCATAATTTATTCATTCATCTGTTGATGGGCGCTTAGGTTGTTTCCATTTTTGTGCTATTGTGAATAATGCTGCAACGAACATGAGTGTGCATATGTCTATTCATGTGGTGGCTCTTATTTCTCTAGGATATATTCTCAGGAGTGAGATTGCTGGATCGTACAGTATTTCTATTTCTAGCTTTTTAAGGAAGCACCACATTGTTTTCCAAAGTGGTTATACCATTTTACATTTCCACCAGCAGTGCATAAGAGTTCCAATGTCCCTGCAACCTCTCCAACATTTGTTATTTTGTGGTTTCTTGATTCCTGCCAGTAATGTCTGGGAGAGGTGGTATCTCAATGTAGTTTTGATTTGCATTTCTCTAATGGCTAATGTTGTGAGCATTTCCTCATGTGTCTGTTAGCTGCCTGAATGTCTTCGTTGGTGAAGTATCTGTTCAAATCCTTTGCCCATTTTTAAACTGGATTATTTGTCTTTTTGTTGTAGAGGTGTTGAATTTTCCTATAGATTTTAGAGATTAGACCTTTGTCAGATTTGTCATAGTCAAAATTTTCTTCCCAGTCTGTAGGTTTTCTTTTTACTCTTTTGGCGAAGTCTTTTGATGAGCATAAGTGTTTAATTTTTAGAAGATCCCAGTTATCTAGTTTATCTTCCGGTGTTTGTGCATTGTTAGTTACGGTTTTTATCCTATTTAAACCATATATTAGGGCCCTTAGAGTTGAAACTATTTTTCCTTCTATGATCTTTATAGGTTTTGGTTTTATATTTAGGTCTTTGATCCATTTTAAATTATTTTTTTGTGTATGGTGTGAGGTATGGGTCCTGTTTTCATTTTTTTTACAGATGGACATCCAGTTTTGCCAACACCATTTGTTTAAAAAACTGTCTTTTCCTCCATTTAATGGACTTTGGGCCTTTATCAAAGATCAGCTGACCGTAGGTGGGTGGATTTACATCTGGGTTATCAATTCTATTCCATTGGTCAATGTGTGTGTCATTGTACCAGTACCAGGCTGTTTTGACTACCATAGCTGTAAAGTAGGTTCTGAGTTCAGGTAGTGTGAGGCCTCCTACTTTGTTCTTCTTCAAAAACGCTTTACTTATATGGGGCCTCTCTCCTTTCCATGTAAAGTTAATGACTAATTTTTTCATCTCATTAAAGAATGCTGTTGGTATTTGGATAGGGATTGCATTATATCTGTAGATCACTTTGGGAAGAATTGATATTTTCACAATGTTGCGTCTTCCTACCTATGACCATGGTATGTTTTTCCATTTATGTAGGTCTCTTTTGGCTTCTTGCAATAGTGTTTTGTAATTTCTTTGTATAGGTCTTTAAGCCCCTGGTGAGATTTATTCTTAAGTATTTTATTTTTTTAGGAGCTATTATAAACTGTCTTGTTTTCCTGATTTCCTTTTTCATAGTTCTCTTTGTTGATGTATAGGAATCCAACTGATTTTTGTATGTTGATCTTGTATCCTGCTACGCTGCTGAATCTTTCTATTAGTTCCAGTAGTTTTTTTCCTTCCCCCACCCCCGCCGTGGAATCTTTACGGTTCTCTATGTATAGTATCGTATAATCTGTAAATAGGGATAGTTTTACTTCTTCTTTACCAATTTGGATGCCCTTTTATTCTTTTTCTTGCATTACTACTCTAGCGAGGACTTCCGGTACAATGTTAAATAGGAGTGGTGATAAAGGGCATCCTTGTCTTCTTCCCGTTCTCAGGGGGAATGCTTTCAGTCTCTCTCTGTTGAGAATGATGTTGGCTGTTGGTTTTGTACAGATGCCTTTACCGTGTTGAGGAATTTCCCTTCTATTCCTATTTTATTGAGAGTTTTTATCAGGAATGGGTGTTGAACTTTATCAAATGCCTTTTCTGCATCAATTGAGATGATCATGTAATTCTTTTTTGTTCTATTTATGTGGTGGATTACAAAGATTGATCTTCTAATGTTGAACCATCCTTGCATACCTGAAATGAATTCCATTTGGTTGGGGTGTATTATTTTTTTGATATAATGCAGAATTCTACTGGATAGAATTTTGTTGAGAATTTTTGAACTACATTCATGAGAAATACTGGTCTGTAATTTACTTTTTTTGTGGTGTCTTTGCATGGTTTTGGCATCAGGGTTTGCTAGCTTCATAAAATGAATTTGGGTGTATTCTTTCCTTTTCTATGCTCTGAAATAGTTTGAGTAGTACTGGTGTGAGCTCTTTTCTGAATATTTGATAGAATTTTCCAGTGAAGCCATCAGGGCCAGGACTTTTTTGTTCGGATTTTATTATTATTATTATTATTTCAATCTCTTCTCTTGTTATGGGTCTGTTCAGATTTCTACCTCAGTTTGTTTTAGTTTAGGTAGGTAGTATGTTTCTAGAAATTTGTCCATTTCCTCTAGGTTTTCAAATTTGTTGGAGTACAGTTTTTCATAGTACTCTGTTATGATCCTTTTTATTTCAGGTGGGTCTGTTGTAATGTCCCCTATTCATTTCTTATTTGGGTTGTTTGCTTTCTCTTTTGTTTTTCTTTTGTCAGTTTGGCCAATAGTTTGCCGATGTTGATCTTTTCAAATAACCAACTTTTTGACTTGTTGATCCTTTCTATTGATTTCTATTCTCTCATTTATTTCTGCTCTGATCTTTATTATTTCCTTTCTTCTGGTGACTGTGGGCTTCTTTTGCTGTTCTTTCCACTTGTTTGAGTTGTAGGGCTAATGTTTTTATTTTGGCCCTTTTTTCTTTTTTGCTGTGTGCATCTGTTGCTATAAATTGACCTCTGAGCACTGCCTTTGCTGTTTTAATATGATGTGCTTTCATTATAATTTGATTCTAGGAATTTTTTAATTGCATCTTTGATGTCTTCTATTGTTGCTGTTAGGTGCTGTTGAGTTGGTTCTGACTCATAGCAACCCTACGTACAACAGAACAAAACACTGCCTGGTCTCATGCCATCCTCACAATCACTATGTTTGGAGCCTATTGTTGCAGCCGCTTTGTCAATCCATCTCATTTTGGATTTTACTGAGGGTCGCTTTGTGGCCTAAAATATGGTCTATTCCAGAGTATGTTCCATGTGCGTTGGAAAAGAATCTATACTTTGTTGCTGTTAGATGGAGTGTTCAATATATGTCTATGAGGTCAAGTTGATTGATTTTGGCCTTTATATCTTCTGTATCTTTCTTGAGTTTCTTTCTAGATGTCCTGTCCTTTGCCGAGAGTGGTGTGTTGAGGTCTCCTGCCATTGTTGTGGAACTGTCTACTTCTCTTTTCACTGCTGTTAGGGTTTGTTTTATGTATTTTGGAGCCCTGTTATTGGGTGCATAGGTATTTATTAAGGTTATGTGTTCTTGGTGGATTGTCCCTTTAATCATTATACAATA